CTGATTCTGCTCTTTAATGACAATCTGGGCCAAGTGACAGTCTCTCAGAGTGCCGGCTTGCCCACCTATAAAATGCGGATAACAGTTCCCTAGAAGATTGTTGCACAGCATTACAGCAGAGAGTTATAGAGCCAGACATGCTTGGTTCCTCCCCCTTAGTTGTACGGCCTTGGGTAGGTTACATCACCTCTTTGAACCTCAGTTTTACCACCTGTTTAATGGGAATAATGAAAATACCTGAGTGTTATGAGATCCAAATCATGTATGTGAAAGTATCTTGTAAACAGAAATGCTGACGAAACTGAAAGCAGCATTTCCACAGTCAGGAAAGAGAGGGGTCAGTCCCTTTGGAATCTGGGCCTAACCTCTGCTTGGACTCATCCTTCTCTGGTCCAGCAGCAAGTTTTCAAGAGGGCTTTGTCTCTCCGGCCCCAATGCCAGGCATCAAGGTCCCACCAGGGAAGGAGGGGATCAAGAGCCAGTTGTGCTAAGCTGTTCCTGAACAGGCAGGAAGCACAAACCATAAGTTGATGACATCTTTTTTCACACTCTCATTGTGTATTTTACTTGATCTTTATAGCTGGTCAGTTTTATCAGCCCATTTCTCGGAGGAAATAGACAGGTTTTAAAAGACGGGACACCTTGCCCAAGGTCACCCGATTAAGGTTGGGGTCGATCCCCAGTTGCTCAAGAGTTTTAGAACAGACTCTTCATCTCCCCCGCCTCTTCCACACTTCCTTTTGAGACTTCGGTTTCATTTTACAAAAGTCCAGCCACACTAGGTACCACCACCCTCTGGGGTCCTTCACCTCGAGGACTCTGACCCCAGTTGCGGGCCCAGTCGGTGGTTTCTAAGGCCCTCTTAACATTTCCCAGTTTTAGCCTGAGAGGTCTCTGTTACACAGGGCGATCTTTATGTCACCCAAATATAATCCAGACTCCACATGGTTGAATCTGTACATGGGGTTCCATTTTTAAAAGGCAAGGTTCAGCAAAAACAAAAAAAAAAAATCACGTTTAAATAATTCCAGTCATTAGTTGCCTCTCTCAAAGAACACCGGGAGGATCCAGTTCTCGTCCCACAGGCACACTTGTCGTCCCCATTTCTCCCCTTTCAGGTCTCACGCTCCAGCTGTGTCAGGGCCTCTGTCCAAAAGTTTCAGACTCCAGCCCTCAGCTTTCACTCCCTCTTCCCCCATCCCAGCTCCTTACTGTGGAGGTCCATCAAGCCTTGCTGGCCTCTCAGTTTTCTTTCTGTTTGCCCATTACCCTGACTCTCCACCACAGAGGAGAACCAGGAGCTGACCAAGAGAGCACGAATACCCGCCTTCCTTCCAGCTCTCCAGTCCTGGCTTCCCCCCATCTCCTGGCACTGCGTCCCCCGGAGCCTAAAGTAAAACCAAAGCTAGAACTCAGGGGAGGGGAGGCGTGTGGCCGATCACACAGAGACGGAATTCGTGGTGGCAGACAGGAGGGAAGAGGGGGACACGCATATGCTGGTCCATCTTGCTCCGTCACATTTGCTCCTTTCTCCCCACTTTCCAACCCTGGTGACTAGACTGAGCAACAACACCATCCCCTTCCTGAGGAGCCTCGTGAGGAACTCAGAGCCATTTTCTCTCTCGAGAGCCTGTGGGACAGTGGAGCAGGCCCAGGCAATTTGGGGCCAGGGACAGAGACCAAAACAGGTAGAAACGCCACTGAGAGCAGAGCCTGACCTGAGAAGGGCAGCTTGTTTCAGGAGGTGTCCTGTCTCCTAAAGAAAACATTAAGGTGTGCAGTTTCCACCGTCTCAGTTCTGGACTTCTAAGGGCTGTTTGCGTGAACAGGAGAGCTTACGGTCTCGATCACTGCCTGGGTCACCATAATAGAAGGACTGCTTCCTGCTGGAGGAATCAACAAGCAGTTTAAAAAAAAGAAAAAAACCCACCACCTTCCAAACACCTCCAGCCTCCAATTCAAGATCCTTCCCACAAGAGCTGGGTGAGGGCCTGGGTGTGGCCAGATGACTCAGACCCTGGTCCCCTGCATCCCACTGCAGCCCCCAAACCACCAGGCTAGCAGGATGGAGATGAGCAAGCCATCTGGGGACAGCTCTGCTGGATCCCAGGGTTGGGGGGTTAGGAGCAGGGTCCTGCTCTCCACAGCCAGGCCTGGGCAAGCAAAGCCACTTCTGCCCCAAGCAAATCAACTGAAAGTCTTGGCCAAGCCTGTTTGAGTTGGTGAGAGCCCAAGTGGGAATTCTAATCTGCCAGTGTTTGCTCTGCAGGCAAACAGGGCCAAACAGAAATGCTGCTCTGGGACTTTGTGCCAAATATCCTTCGGCTTGTTCTGCCAGCAGCACCAGGCCAGCCCTCTGCACGTCACCCTCTCCCAGTTCTCTGCTCTGTGACAGGCTTCTGCTTACACCCTTAAAGGCAGCTTGCCATCTCACACCACAGCCCAGAGGCCCAGGCCCGGAGCTTCCCTGCTGGACCTGGGACTCAGCCTTCCAGGTCCAACATGCTGTCTGCCCATCCTGCACCAGCTCCACCTGGAGACCCTGTCACTGCCCATTTCCCCGCAGCTTCCTGGCCTCTGCTTCCTGTTCTCAGCTCCATACTATCCTCACCACCTTCACGTTGGCCCAGTCCCTCCAAGCCCCTGGCTTGCTGATGGGTGAGGCAGTGACACAGCCCATTTCAGCTGGCCGCACAGCAGAGGTAGAGCTGACAGCCAGGAAGCACAAACCATAAGTTGACTATGTCTTTTTTCACACTCTCGTTGTGTCTTTTTTTTTTTATAAAGATTGGCACCTGAGCTAACTGTTGCCAATCTTTTTTTTTTTTTCTGCTTTTTTCTTTTACTCTCCAGATCCCCCCAGTATATAGTTGTATATTTTAGTCGTGGGTCCTTCTAGTTGTGGCATGTGGGACGCCACCTCACCGTGGCCTGATGAGCGGTGCCATGTCTGCGCCCAGGATCCGAACTGGCAAAACCCTGGGTCACTGAAGCAGAGCGCGCAAACTCAACCACTCGGCCACAGGGCCGGCCCCTCTCATTGTGTCTTTTATTGAATCCTTGTAGCCGGTCAGTTTTATCAGCCCATTTCTCAGAGGAAATAGACATTTTAAAAGACAGGACACCTTGCCCAAGGTCATCTGATTAAGGAATTCAGGCTTCCTGTCTCCAAAATCATGGCACTTTCTAACTTGCCTCCCTGAGGCAAATTTTTAAATCTTTTGTTCACTCTCAGATGCCTATGGCAATTCCAAGATTCCTGGTGCAAGCTGGGGGATGTGTTTCCATTTTCCCCTGAGCAATGCTGGCACACACCGTATAAGCAGTTGGCAGTGTCTGCTTTGCCCCAACCCTGAATCAGAGCCATTGCCTGAGGCGGGCCTGCCTACCCTGCTGACTGGGCTGCACCCGCCAGAGCACCCCTGGAAGCCCCCAGCCTTCATGGGTAGACATTGGATGCATAAGACCCAGAGCTCCTCCCCCTGTTATAAAGGGCACAGACTCCCTGCTCACTTCAGGCCCACCTCCAAGGGCATCAGCACAAAGTTCTCTCCATTCCAGGAAGCAGCTGGGCTACATGCCTTGCCCTCAGAGGGCTCCCCGACAGCACGGTGATGGGTCTACGCTCCAGAGCAATCCTTCTCAGCATTGTCTATATAATTCTCAATTCGGTCCTGAGAGATTGAACATTTGCAAATGGAAATGATTAGAGTATCTTAGAAGACACATGCTTTCTGCATTAAAACAATTATTACTTCCTCAAGGGAATTTTCTCTCGTCCAGTATGGCTGGATCACTGTCTTGTCTACACAACTGTGAGGACCAAGAGGCCCATGACTAGATTGTGGGTTTCTCATCACACAACCTCCAGTACCCAGCAGAGCTCAGTAAATAGTAGTCAGATGTATGAACAAAACTGTGAGTAAAGGCTTCCTGCTGCCCTTTTCTTGTGGCCTCATGAGTGCCATCACCCAGGCCTGGAGCCCATGGGCCCACTCATGGGACCCTTCTGTCCAGCCACTCTCAACTCGCCCTCATGTGTATTCTGCTGTCCTGACTCCCAGTGTGGGTCTGGGGCCTTTCTGCACTCAGCTATAGGTGCTGTCTCCCATCCCAGCTCAACCCAGAACTCCCTTCTCCCTCTGTCTGAGATGGCACTGCCAAGGTAATAGGCCTCAGGATACTTCCCAGCAATGGGAGCCAAGGGGCACTGCAGGGCCTCTGGCCTGGCCAGTTGGGAGCAAGGGGGGCCAGCTACCCTACCCTACCTGGGGCTTTGGACAGCTCCATCATGGCTGAACCCAGGTAGTGCCAGGACCTTGGCAACTCTGGCAGTCACTTGGCCAGAAATGACACAGAAAATGCTACCTTTTAAGTGAAGAGTCCTAACTAACCATAAGTAGGGCGTAAGCAGCCCTGAGTGCCTGATGCTGCCCCTCCTCCGACCCCTGTATGAGGTGCCTGGGCGTTGCTGTAGGCAACTCCCCCAGACCAGCCCACACACAGAATCCTGCCAGTCACACTGCACTGCACCCCTTGGAGCACCATGACTACTGTGAGCCCAGGGGGAAGCAGAGTAGACTTCCAAAGAGGGGTCCCCACAGCAGTGGGCCCACAGAGAGACATGCCGCTCTGCCGGGCATGGGGACACCCCCATAAAGGAGCCCAGCGGAGGTTTCAAGAGGGAAGTAGGCCACACCTGGTCAAAGGAGCCATACACCCTGATGGAACTGCTGGAGGACTGATGGTCTGGAGTCCTCAGGTGGCTTCCCCAGGAGCCCAGTGGGTCCTTGCTGCTGGGCTCAAGGGAGGAGAGAGACAGTGTGGCCCCTGGATGTGGCTTCTGGCCAGGGTGAGTCTTGCCCCTCCTCTCCCCACTCCCTTGGCCCGGCTGTGTCATGTGGTAGAGTGGGGAGGGTGTCTGGGGAATCAGACTTCACGGGCACCCACCCAGGCTCAATCCCCAAAGGTGGGGAAACACCATGATCACAGCAACCATGTGAGGTCAACACAGAAAGCCTGCGTTTATTGGGGGGACTGTCACAGCTTGTGAGGCCCTTAGTGCTTGGATGCCCACATCCAGCTACTTTTCATCAACATTTTCTGAGGAGTGGGACTGCTTCTTCTGGGGCAAGTCTTCGAGCATCAGGTTCAGCACGTGCACAATCTCGTAGTACAGCTCTTGAAGCCTGGAAGTGCAGCAGGAGACGGGCCTGAGCCCAAGACTGGGCTCCAGGCCACCCAGGCCCCACCTACCACCCACTGGCACCTGTACATTCACCACACCTGGCAGGTGTGGGGTCAGGGCAGAGCAAGGGCTTCAGAGCCAGATCAGGCTGGGCTGGAATCCGGGTCTGCCACTCTACCTATGGCCCCTGGAGTAAGTTATTTCACCGCATATGTCAGGTTGGAGACAATAAACTCCCAGGCTCTGAGTGAGGTGACTGTGTGGAGGTGCCCAGATACTACCTGACCCACTCTTAGGCCAAAAGTAGGCATTCTATGATCCCTTCCTTTTAGTTCCTCCAGTCCATGAAGCCCTCCAGGGGGTTTCTGTCGAGAAGTGAGGTTGATCCTGTCCTTCCATGTTCAAGAGCCCACTGTGGCTCCTTAGTCCCCACGCCCCTCCCCTTCCTGCTCAGTAATGGCCAGTTATAACCCAGAGAAGTTAAGTGAGCACAGCCCTGGGCCAAGCCAAGCTCAGAGCTTCACATACACTATTTTCATAGAATCGGCTCAGCAGCCCCTCAGGTGTCAGGTGGGAAAGGAGCAGAGACTTGCCCAGAGTCACACAGGAAGGTAGTGGCAGAACCAGGCCAGGTGCCTCAGCTCCTGACTCGCCAGCCAGTGTTCTTTCCTCTGCCCTCTGAAAAGGGGTTAGTGTGGAGGGGCCTGGAGAGTCAAAGGAGTGAGCATCTAAATACGAGTCAGGGTGGGCTGAGGAGGGACAGGGGAGCAGAGTCTCCCCAGCCACAGGCCTGTCCACACAGCAGCCCAGCCTCTGTGCATATGTAGAATCCTGCACCCCCAAGCAGGGCCTCGTTCTACCCACTCTGCACATTGCCCATCACCCCCTCGCCCTCCAAGACCATCTGACATGGCCCCACCCTCAAGGAAGCCCAGGCACCAGGAAAGGCCTGGCCTCTTTTGGGCCAGGGTTGGTGGGGGTGGGACTGACTTGCAGATCGTAGTGTCCTGGTTGTCCAGAGTGGTCAAGTAGACATCAATGAAGGGTAGGCTAGTGCCAAAGTCATCCAAGACCATGGGGTCAGTGTGCCGCAGTGTCTTCTTGAAGTTCTCCACCAGCTCACTGAAACTTTTGTAGTCAACGTTTTTCTAGTGAGGGAAGCATAAAGAGAGCAATGATAAGAAGATGACACCCAAGATGCACAGAGACCTGGGGACCCTCCACGAGGAGGCCCAGGCAAAGGCTGACTCTAGCCCCTGGGTGAGTCCTGAGCCTAGTCACGGGTTCACCCTGACCCTTGCTGAGCCTGGACCCCCAACCACGGTAGCCTCGTAAGACATCATCACAGACATGAGGATAGGTGACACAGGAAGGACCCGGTGAGAGCCTGAGTGTGGCTCAGCATGGCCTCACCCTGCCCTGGAGAAACCTTGGGCACAGTCAAGACAGGCAGATGTCTCCACCTCAGAGAGGAGGCTGAGGAGAGATGCAGTGACCACAAGGGGAGGCAGGGGCAGCGGTTCAGGACCCGGCCCAGGGAGCACAGAGCACTGAGACTGCCTGCCACAGCTGTATCATACTTGACAGAAAATCTCTAGCCTGTTGTGTTCATTCTTGTTCTGGTTTAGAAAACCTGAGGTTAGTAACACCTGTCAGGGCCTCCGTGGCCCCACCCATGCCGTGGACGGGGGCCATGCCTGCCTGGCACCCAGTGAGGTCTCGGTAACAAGAGTGCTCCAGGCAAAGGGCCCGGCAGTGGAGTTTTGCCCACAAAGGAGGAAGATACTACAATTACAGCACTCAGCACTCTAAGAGGTTCAGAGAAATGCACAACGCAGAGAATAAAGCCCACCTCTGGAAAATACAGGGGGTAGGTACCTACCTTACCTCAGGCCACAGATGCCTGAGGCCACCTGGCCTCTACATGGGCCCCAAGGCTCCTCTTCCTGGCCACTCCTTCAGCCCTGATTGTCCATCCATCTTTGTCCACCTGCCTGTGGAGATCACCTACCCGTCTCTGCATCAGCCTGCTGACCTCCTCCTGTTGCCGCTTCAGAATCACCTGCTTCTCTTCCATGAGTGTCATGTGCCTCTCCACCATCAGCTCCCGCTCAAACTTTTTGATGGAGTCCTAGGGAGCAGGAGCATGGAGGTAAGGCGTGGGCTCTCACCACATACCCATCTTCCCTAGTCTTGCACTGCTGCTCAAGCCCCTCAGCAGGAGGACCTCCAGCCCCCAGACAGGGCCAGCCCCCAACTCAAGCTGCCAACTGCAGCTACAGTGACAATCCCAAGCCGCTGTCCTGCTGGCCGCCATCATGAGGCAGGGAAATGCACTGGCTCAGGGAGAAGAGTTGGGCTGGGGTAGGGAGTGGCCCACCTGGCCACCTCCCCTCCCTTCAGGAGAGACACAGCTCAGGGCTCTACCAGGAGACTTGGCTCACAGCTCCACCTACCACACCTACCCCAACCCTGATCCTTCTAAGTGCCACTTCACCTCAGTGTGGATGATCATCACACCCACAAACATGCTGAGGAAGATGAAGGAGGCAAGCAAGATGAAGACAATGGTGAACGTCCGGCTCAGAGTAAAATTCCGGGCGTCTAGCTGGTGCTGCAGGTCTGTCCAGCCATCAACCTGCTCGGGTGGGGGAGGGTATGCCAAGTGTCAAGGCCTCGTGGGGTAGGCCTCCTTCTCACCCAGCCTCAGGGAGCCCCAACCCCACCAAGGAGGAGGCTGGCCCTGCCTCCACATCAGGCCCTCAACAGCCCCCGATCCGCTGACTTCAGTCCATAGATGGTGGTTTGGGGATGCAAGGCACCACTGGGTGGGGGCACTTCTGGCCAAGGTGCTCTGGGGACTCCTCCAAAATGCCTCCCATCCTCCCCAAAAAGACACTGCCTCTCTGCTAGGCCCTCCTTTGGAAAGACCCTAGTCTTTCCAGAGTCCAACAGAGTCTAGACTTCTAATTCGGGCTTTGCAGGCTCATTCTGGTTGGATTTGTGACAGCCTGTTCCAAAAAAGGCTATGTGACATGGGTTTCACTTCTAAATTAAACTTAATCCAAATGAATTATCTTTTGAGAACTCTTGAAATTTTTATAACCCTGTTGGACAAATGGAAATGCTCTAGGGAGTCACAAAATTAGAGGCAGAGACGGACTCCTGGCCAGGGCACTGGCCTCTGCTTAGTCCTGGGAGACCAGCCCTCAGCTTCCCTGGCCCAGCTAAGCACATGAACGTGGGGAAGGCCCCCTGTGAGGCCCAGCGTGTCTTCACACTCACTCCAGCTGGCAAGCCCTTCTTAAGGCCCCTTCCCCCATCACTGTTCCCAAACACAGTACCGTGGCCAAGCTGAAGAGGGTAAAGAAGGCCACAGCCAGGTTCCCCCAGTTATTCATGTCACCCCCGTCTGGAACTCCAAATAGGTAGAAGCCCAAGATAGCAAAGATGTACATCAGGACAAAGAGCAGGATGATCACAGAGGCCACGGTGTAGACTGTCTGCCCCACAGCGGTGATGAGCGTCTGTAAGACAGGGGCACCGGGGCTAGGCAAGGCTGCCAGGCTGGGTGGCGCTCAGAGGACAGAGTCCAGTCTGCCCAGACCACAGCTGTCCCCAGTATCCAGTGCCATGCCTGGCACATGATAGATGCTCAATCAGTACTTGGAGGAAGGAAAGAGGGGAGGTCGGGGCACTGGTCCAGATTCTAATAATTACCAATGCCTGAACTCCGCTCTCGTCACCTGTGGGCAGATGATGCGTGCTGCCTTAGATCTGGGGTAGTCGCCCCATCAGCACCACTAACCGCTCTACTTGACCCCCAGCCTGGCTGTGTAATCATCCCAAGGTGTCCTGCTCCTGCTTCTCAGCTGAGGGCCAGCCCTGAATGTTCTTCTAGGCCCAGGAGGAGTAGAGGAGCCACCCCGGGAGTGGAAACGAAGAAGACTGAGAGGAATGTGGCTTCCCATTCTTTCTGAGCCCCATTTCACAGGCAAGTCTCCATCTCATGACCTCAGTCTTCACCCTGTGAAATGGGCGTTTGTCTTATCTCCCACTACATTGCCCACTCCTGGGGAGCATAGTGAATGGCTCCTCGTTGTTCATTCTTCATGCCCTGGAGTCTTGCACACAGTAGGTGTTCAATACATGCTCAGCTCCCTCGATGCAGTCACAGACATAACTTGAAGGTAGGTAGGTGTTAGCCTTCTTCCCACTTCAAGATGAGGGATCGGAGGCTCAGAGAAGCAGAATGACTTGGCAGGCTTACACTCCAGTACAATGGCAGAGCTGGGACCAGCCATTTCTTGGCTTAACACTAGGAAAGGAGGTACATGAGAGATCTGGGACACAGGACAGTGAAGTTCTGACAGTTTGGGGTAATATGGGGAGCAGAGAGACAACCCAAGGGCACTGGGGCTGCCCTGCATGTGGACTGGTTGGGCAGCTGCCTGCAGGGGTGAATGCATGCCAGATGCCTCTCTCCTTTCCTCAGGGGAAGAAAATCAATGTTTTGGAATTAATTCCAAAAGAGCTGAGATGTAAAAAACTGCCTCCTCTCCCTATGAGACAGAGACAGAACTTCTTCCCCAAGAACTGCTAAGACTGAAGAGATAAGTCCTCAAGGGAAATGCTGCAATGGGATGCAGTCTGCAGATGAGGTCTGCACGGTGGGGGAGGGGGTGCGCCAAGCAGTGGAACCTGAGGTACTGGAGAAGGGTGGGGGTGAGGCCCTGGCTGGTCTCTGACTTCCAGGCCAGCCCGCAGGCCCAGAGCTACCTGAGGTCAAAACCAAGCAGCCTTGAGAACAGCCGTGGGGAAGAGGTAATGCTCTCCAAAAGCCCACATGGGACTGACTCCCAACAGCTGGCCTTGGCCACGTTCTTCAAGCACCATCTAGGCAGGCCCCATTAGGCTGCAGACTGGAAGGTGCAGAAATCCAGTCTCCAGGATGGTTGCCCAGATCCCCATAGGCCAGTAGCTCCTTCCTTGAGGAAGTCCTGGGCTTTCGAGGCCTACAGCCTGCTTCCCAGTAGGTACCAGATTTTGAATTCCCAAATTCTTTGGGGAAGGAATTCCTAACCCCAGTTCAGCTCTCCTAGGCTCTGGGTCAAACCACAGCTGCCCTTCTGGTCCTGGGGCATTCTGGGTATGGAAAGCACCTCCAGGTAGGGCAGGTGCCCAGCCTGGCTGCTCTGATGTGCAGAAAGTGATGAGCCCCAAGGAGGGGGAGGTAGGGATAAAGGCGAGGCTGGTGCTCCCACCACAGCCTGGCTTCTGAAGGTTCTTCTTCAGGCTGAAATGCAGATAAACATGGGGACTGTGGCCCTCAGGTGTCCAGCTAAGAGAACTTCTCCGTGTGCCAAACAACAAGGCACAATTTCCTCGTGGTGCAGGTTTATTGCCATAAGGCAGAAAGCAGAGTGTCATTTTAATTAATCAGGGGATGGGAGCCAAGAATGTGGCAGAGTGCCAGCTCTGGGCACTGAGGCTGCTTGCTCTGTTAAAGCCTCATTGAGACTCAATGAGTATAAATTAGCACAGAGGTGCAGGTGCCTACCTTTGGCACCTCCAGCACCCCCCCACCAGCTGGCCAGGCCAGAGTACAGAGGGCATGTAATCCAGAGTTACTTCTGTGCCTCTGGGGATCAGGGGCCCAATGACATTACAAAGGCTGCAGAAGAGCCACAGCCAGAGGGCCTGGTGGTCCCCAGAGGACAACTTTTGGATACAGGGCTCTGCTTAGTGACAGAAAAGTGAGGTCAAACATAGGACATATGTCTACATGCATGTCGTGTCTACATGTCCGTGGGTCTCTATGCACGTCTACAAGGACCAAAGACTGAGCAGAGGCCTGCAGTCACCAAGCAAGCCAGGCTGAGCTCTGGGATAGACCTTGGCCAGCAGGGAAGGCTGTGCTTCCTTCACTGGATCCCTGGGCTGGAAGGATGGGCTGTTCTTGCCAAGCTCTAAGCCCCAGGCACCTTCAGGCCTTCGCCAGGCTGCCACGACATGGCCAAGACGATGCACTTAGCAGGCAGCTAGTGCCCTCAGCCTCGCCAGGTGCTATTCCAGGTCACTGCCCTTCCCCTCACCCCCAAGATGGAAGCCGCTCCTCCCACCAGTCCTTTCTGCTTCCCTCCTCCCTGCACAGCCCTGGTCTTCCTTTCCCTCAGCCCGCTGCCATCACCACCTTCCTCACATGACTTCCGCAGGTTTCATTCAGGTTCATTCCATGATAATCCCTCTCCTGGCCTCACCCAAACATACTTTCTTGCCTGAGGATATCACTCCTCAGCAGCTCTCTCAAGGGAGGCTGTCTATCCCACACTGACCTGATTCAGGAGGCCACTCACTGCCTTAGCCCCAGAGCCCCCATCTCTATGGGCAAAAGCCACTGTTTCTGGGCAGGGCTAACCTTCCAGCTTCCCACTCCTCCTCGCATCTTGGAATCTCTGCTTCTGGGCTCCACCCCATCCTGCTATCATCCTGGGGGCCTTCAGCATCTCTATGAAATACCAACTGTCCCTTAGGCCTCTTCATCCCTTGACTTCCTCATCTCCAGTAACCCTCGCACCACTTCAGGTCCCTGTTCCCTTGGTGCCAAACACCTGGAAAAACAAGGCTACACTTCCCACTGTCTGATCACTTCCTCACTTTGAGGTGTCCACCACCTGGCACTTACTTCCCAGGACCTTCAGTCTTCTTTCTTATCCACCTACCTTACTCTCCTCTCTACCTAACATCAACTCCAATGCCCAGAACCTCAGACACTCCCCTTCCTCCCTTCTAGAAACATTATAGGGTCTGTCTGTAGCCTAAAAACAAGGGGAGCCACTTTTAAGTTTAAAAGGAAGGGTGCCATGATTTGATGGACACTTTAGAGATTCCTCCCAGCTGCTGGGGTGTTTCTGCTCCAGGGCTTTCAGTAGTGTGGGAAGCCATTGCAGGAATCCAGGTAGAGGTGGATGGTGATGGAGAAAAGATGATGGCTGTGGGGTGAAAATATGTGGACAAGTCAATAACTATTTAAGAGGCCATGTTATAGGACTTTGAGAAAGAGGAGTCAAAGCTGACACTCAAATTTATGACTTGGCAGTTGAATGGGGGTGGGGGAAACCCTTCACCAAAAGACAAAAATATGGGAGGAGGAGCCAGGTTTGGAGACTTGAGGGTGGGGATGGGGAGAATGATGACTTTCAGTTTAGACATGTTGAGTTGGAGGAGCACGTGAGATGTCCAGGAGGCAGTTGGGTCTGAAGGTCAAAGAGAGAGACTTGGAGAAGTGAAGACCCCTGAAAAGTAGAAGAGATCACCTAGAGTGAGAAGAGAACTCAGGCCGCAGTCCTGAGAAAACAACGCTTACGGGCCAGGCAAAGAAAACATGCCCCTGAGAAGTCACGCCCAAGAGGCTGGAGGAAAACCAAGAGAAAGCGGTGACAAGGATGCCAAGGGAAATGGCCAGTGGACTTGGTGACAAGGAGGCTGTTGGCAACCTCAGAGAGGCTAGTTACCTTGGAGTGGAGAAGAGAAACCAGGGTATACGTGACAGATAAGGAAGGGGGACGAGGAGTACAGACACCTCTCTCCAGGAGGCTCATCATGAAGAAAAGGAGAAGGAAGGCTGGACCACCGGGAGGGGACACACACACAGGAGTGTGAGTACATGATAGCAAGAAATAAATGAATGGGGTCTGTGACAGGGGGAGCTCTTTTACATTCTCCTTATCGTCTCTACCCGGGACTGGGGCTTCCTGAGTGTCGGGTCCAGGCCCTAGACAGACAGATACCCAGGCAAGCTAAGGGCAATCTCTCAACAGAACAGGCTGACACACCCTAACTGGTCAAATAGGTCCAAACCAGCCCCTTCCTGGAGAAGCACGGATACTGGGTACAGAGCCAGGGCAAACATACTGTGTCCAGAATGAATGCTGAGGGCATGGTTGGGTCAGCTCTGAGGTTCATTCTGAAACCTTCTGAGCCAAGAAAAGCTGGTCACCCATGACTTCCAACAACCCAGGAAGACTTCCCAGCAGGAGCAGCATTTCCAGAGCTACCTGAACAAATTAATGAGACTATTCCCATCAAGAGAAGCAGCATATATTTAGCTGTTTAGAGAAAGCAGTGAGTGACCAGGGCTACCAAAAAGCTGGAGGCTCCTGGGCATGTATTTCAGAGTCTGTATCATAAGAAAATCAGTTAATTTGCAGCACGGAAGAGAGGAAAAGTTCAGATGGCCTCTGGAGTCAGACACACCTTTCAAATCTCAGCTCTGGCATCTAAATGCTGAGTGACCTTGGGCCTCAATTTCATCTGTAAAATGGAGCTAATAATACTTCCCTATAGTTTTTTAAAGATTAAATGAGATAATATTGGTAAAGATCAACCTGCCACACAGTAGGACTCAATAACTGGATGATAGTAGTAGAATTATTATTTCATCAAGGGCTGGTGGGCAGATGGGCGCTATCGCCTGCATCAGCACCAGGGCACCCCCAGTTTCCTCACCCGGATACCACGGCTATAGGTGATAAGTTTGAGGATGCGCAGGGACTGTATGCCATCAGCGATGTTGAGGTAGGGGTAGTGCTTTCCCTTGAACTTGCGGAGACCATAGGGGATGAAGACAGTGATGATAATGACCACATCCAGCACATTGTAGCCATCTTTCCAGTAGTCGATGGGGTCCACGTAGAGCTTCATGCAGAACTCGGAGCTATAGATGGACACAAAGATGAGCTCTGAGACCTGCAGGGGTGGCAAGATTTGGAGGGTCAGATCAAGCTGCAGAGCCTTAGAGTCTTGGCTCTCTCCCTGACTGGGTCACCCAATCAGGTGTTTGTGTTGTTGGGGGCAGGGTGCTCCTAACTCACCCACGTGAGAGAGAACCCAAGCACACAGTGGACACACAGTGTGCCTGATTCTCTTCTCCTTCTGTGTCTTCCCTACCCTGTGGCCCTAAGCCTGGGGCTAGGTTTGCCCCAGGGTGCTTGGGAATGACCAACTGACTGACAGAATGACTACCTAGGCTCCAGTATAAGGCAACTCAACATGCTAAGTTTTCCCAAAGAGAAGATCTCTAGCGTTTTCTGGCCACCCTGAATATCCAAACTTTTAGGAATATAGATGAAATACTCAAATATCTACTTATATTTACTCTATTAATCACACACACTTAAAATCAGTTAACTAATCTGTGTCTGAAGAATATTGTGTTTTTTCCACTTTATAAAAGTGGAAAACAACTTATTGAAATCTTATGAAACAATCTTATTCAAATTCTTCTCATGCATCTACAACTCCAGTGGCTTTGTTTTTACCAAAAGGCACTTCTGAGTCATCTAAGTTTTCCTTATCATCAACGCATTCATTCACTGAAGAGGCTTTGATTGACCATCTACCAAGTGCCAAGCAAGCACCATTTTAGGTCCTGGGAAATGCAACCGTGAATAAGACAGAAAATCCCCAGCCCTCAGGAAGCTTACAATCTGGTAGGAGAGACAGAAATACATATATAATATAACATCTAATAGGAGGAAAATGAACTAGCCAAAGGGGCCATAGGGCCTGGTCAGGTTGGGGAGAGACAATCGTGGCAGCTATTTTAGGTAAGGTGGTGAATGGAGCCATAATAAGCTGGGAGAATGCTTCCTAATGGCGAGTACAAGGGCCCTAAGGTGAGAAATGGGTTGTTCAAGGAACCACAAAGTCAGCATGGGTAGACAGCAAAGGAAACGCAGGGCGGGAGATGGAGCTGGAAAGGTAGGCTGTGTAGGGAGGGCCTTGTAGGCCTGATGAGAGCTTTGAATTTTAACCTCAGCCTTGGAGGATTTTGAGCCAGGGAGTGATATGAACCGGTTTACATTTTTAAGAGATCTTGGTGGACAAAGAGACTGGGGAAGCTAGCAAGAACAGCAACTGGGAGGCAGGTTACAGAGGATACGACAGTGGTAGAATTATTTCTAGCAGTCGTCTAGGCAAGAGATAAGGTTCAATTGGATTGGGTTCAGCAAGAGAAGAGGCCAGGTTCCAGATGTATTTTGTGAGCAGCACCGACGGGACTTGCTGATGGACTCAGGGATGCACGGGGAAGAAAGAAGGTCAAGGAATACTCTAGTGTTTCAGACAGAACTGGGTAAACCATGGTGCCTTTAGCTGAGATGAGTTTGGGGTGGGTTGAAGGGGCCTAGAGAGAGTTTCTGAAAAGAAACAGAACAGCTTTTGAGATATATACCATCTTTTAAAAATAGGTCAGACGCTGTCACTAGAAATTATAACTCAAGCCGCAAACTATCATTTTAGATAACATTAGGGCAGCTGATGTTTTTATTTGTTCTGTATACTTATATTTGCGGTCTCTACAAGGCAACCATTTACATACACTTTTATTTTTTTTTTGACTACTATGTAATATTTAAGATACACAAAAGGGTATAAAAAGTAATATAATGAACAACCATACTACCATCCAGTTTAAGAAATAAAATATTCCCATTACAGGCAGAGTCTCTTGTGGATCCCTCATTCCTCGAATCCCCTTCTCTTCCTATAAAGGTACTCCTATTATAAATCTAGAGGATGTCCTGCTCATGTATTTTATACTTTTACCACATATGGATCCCTAAAAATACATGGTATTGTTTTGCATTTTTTATATATAAATAGCATATATACTAAAGTATTCTTCAGCGATTTGTTTTTTTTTACATTTAAAATTATGTCTAGGAGATTCATCCGTGTTGATATGTGTAAACCAAGTCTACTGTTTTCACCACTGTTGAGCAATGCTACTTACGAAAATACTACAATTTATTTATTCTGTTACCAGCTGAGTGACATTTAGTTTGTTCATAATTTTTTACTATCGCAAAGAGTATAATAGTACAAAACGTTTCATCCATTCTTATTTGTTTTCTTGTACTCATATGTAAAGTTTCTCTATTATCTACATAGGAGTGGAATCACTGGGTTGTAGGATATAAGCATCTTCACTGTCACTGGATATTGCCAAATTGTTTTCTGAAGCTTAAGATCAGCAGCCTTCTTATTGTGTTAAGTCCTTCCAATACTTCCTACTGTCAGATTTAATTTTTGTCAGTCTGATGAATATGAAATGTATCTTACTTTTTATTTTAATTGTCGTTTTTTGAATTATTAATGAAGTTGGGCATCTTATATGTTTAAATCATAAATTGCCTGTTTCTAATCTTCTGCCAACTTTTCTGCTGGGTTGTTTCGTCTTTTTCTTATTTATTTGAAAGACAATCAATATTTCAAATATTTTGACTCTTAATCCTTTGACTGTTCTACGTGTTGCAAGTATCTTCTCCTACACTGACTTGTCTTCTCACCTCTTTAATGCTCACTTGATGAATAGAAGTTAAAAATTTTAATGGAATCAAATTAACCAAACATTTTCCTCATAGTGTATGTATTTTGCATCTTAAGAAACCTTTCCCTCCTGAGATCATATATTCTATATGTTCTTCTAAACATTTTAAAGTTTCGCTTTTCAAGTTAGGTCTTTAATCCAGCTGAGTATGCTGTGTGGTAGAGATCCACCTCTATTTTTTCTCCGTATCACAACCAATCATCCTAGTACCATTCAGTAAAGACTCTAGCCTTTCACAACTCATCTCGCATGTACCACGTTTCCACACAAGCCGGGGTCTGTTTCTGAGCACTTTATGCTGTTCCACTGGAGTTTTGTCTATCCATGCCTCATCATCCTGCCTTAATCACCAGAGCTTTATGGAAAGTCTTACTATCTGGTAAGTCAAGTCTTCTTCCCTTTTAACTTTCAAAATCATCTTGGTTTTTCTTTGTCTTTCATTCTTTTATCTAAATTTTGGCATCAGCTTCTGATAAGCCATAAAAAATCCTGCCAAGCTTCTTATTGAAATTGCATTGATTTTATAGACTAATTGGGGGAGATTGCATCTTTAAGAAACTGAGCCTTTCTGTCCACGATCTGATATCTTTCCATTGCTTTACGTCCTCTCTAACAACCTTTATACATTTTCATTTTTTTCTCCTTAAAGATCACACAAATCTTTTATTAATCTCTAAGTACTTTTAGTATTTTGTTAGTAGAAGTGACATCATTTTTGTTGCTGATATATTAAATACAATTAATTTTATTTATTAATCAAGTATCCAGCAAACTTGCTGGACTTTATTATTTATTTAACTTTATTAATTAATAATTTTTTCAGATTCTCTCAGGATTTCTATGCAAAAATTATACTACCTGTGAATAATGACAGTTTTTCAAAACTTTCTTTCTAATCCTTAATGCTTATTTCTTTTTCTTGTATTATACATTGGCTAAGACATGAATAAAAATCTTATCAATAATAACTGGAATACTACTATAAAGTGAATACTACTAAAGTTTCACCACTGAGTGTAAATTTTGATATAGGTTTTTCATAGATACCCTTAATTAGGTTAAAATAAACCCTTCTATTCCTAGTTTGCTAAGTTTTTAACATGAAGGGTATTCATGATAAACTTTTTTTTCTGCCTCTCTTGAAATGATCTTGTGGGTTTTTTTCTCCTTTAATATTTTAAGCTGGTTAATAAAATGTGTAGACTTTCCTAATACTTGCATTCCTAGAAAAAAATCCAATTTGGCAATGGTATATTATCTTTTTCATACTTTTTTTTTTTAATGATCGGCACCTGAGCTAACAACTGTTGCCAACTTTCTTTTTACTTTTTTTTTTTTCTGCTTTTTCTCCCCAAATCCCCCAGTGCATAGTTGCACATTTTAGTTGTGGGTCCCTCTAGTTGTGGCATGTGGGACGCCGCCTCAGCGTGGCCTGACGAGCGATGCCATGTCCGCGCCCAGGATCCAAACCAGTGAAACCCAGGGCCGCCGAAGCGGAGTGAGCTAACTTAACCAGTCTGCCAGGGTACTGGCCCCTTTTTCATACATTTTTAAATTTGGTTTCCTAATATTCTTTTTGGGATTTTTGTATCCAAGTTCATGACATCGGGTGTAATTTTCTTTTTTCAAACTGTCCTTGTCTAGTTTTGGCAGGAAGGTTAACTAACTTCTCAAAATGAATTGTCTGTGGGCAGAGCAGATATACTCGCTTATCTAACCACTGGAAACATTTCATGTGTCTGGAAATCTATCTCCCATGAATATAAAACCACCTAGTCCAGGTTTGTTTGTTTTGAGAGATGGAAAATTTAAGTACTAATTCAACACTTTATAGCCATTAAAGGATATACACGGACATATAAAGATTATTTCAGGTTTTCACTTTTTTATTGAGGGTCAGCATTGTGAATTTGTTTTTAGAAACTTGTCTTATTCCAGCTAGGTTTTCACATTTATTAGCATAAAATTATTAGATTTCTGATGTCTACTCTATCTGTAATTTCTCTTTTTAATTCCTAACACAACTCAGGGCTTCTGTTTATCTGGATTGTCTCATGCAGGAAGTTATTTTATAATTATTTTCTAAGATCTAACTTTTCGATTTTTTATTCATTCTATTGCATCTTTGTTTTCTATTTCATTAATTTTTGCTCTTATCTTTACTATTTCTTTCTACCTTCCTTCTACTTTTGCTTCCTATTTCCTTCTTTTTGATTTTATTCTCTTGTTCTTTTCCAAAAGGTCAGCTCATTAATTTTTTACACTGAGACCCACATAACATAAAATTCATCATTTTAAAGTACAGAATTCAGTGGGCAGTTTTTTAGTTTTGGGTATTTATTACTGGTTTTGTGTT